AACCAATCAGAGCCAAGAAAGGGATAGTGAAAGCAAATATGACAACGTTATTTTTCTAAAAATGTACTACTGCAGTAATAACTTTAAATAATATATTTAAGACCAGACTTGATATTGTTTTATTATTTTTGATTTTTGTAGGATGGAAGCATAGAGCATGGATCAGCTAGTTCATATAAATGTATTTTTAAGAAAGATACTGTATAAAAAGTTTAGACTGCTATTTGATTTATTGCAGTTATCTGCTTATTATTCAACTTGTAAATGGTAAATGGACCTGCTATCATACACCATTTCTAGTCTTTCGACCACTCAACTGGCCTGCTCACACTACATGCACACTCCACTTAACAAATTTATGACACTCGCGCGCACTCGGCATGCTGCCATGCCAAGGCCATGCTCACCAACAGGAAACTAAGCATTCACACAGTCATACACCGATGCACAGCATGTTCAGATTCAGTATCTTGCTCAAGGACACTTCAACATGCAGCGTGAGGAGTCGGGATTGAACTGCCAACCTTCTGATTAGTGGACAACCCGCTCTCCCTCTGAGCAACAGCCCAGTAGTCAGCAGATTTTTTAAAGCGTTATTTGACCTCTAAAACTGTTCCATCAGGGGTGTATCTAGAGTGGGGGCAAGTTGGTGTCAAATGCTGTCAAATTTCTCACATTAATTGAGTTTAATTTTAAAAATAATGCGCTACAAAACAAAAATGAATATAATGATGTGTTATGACCACATTTAAGACTCAGTGATAGGCTCAAGTTCAGTGAAAATGGATTTGAAAAAATGTCTTAAGATATTGGATATTTCTATTCAGTGCTTCACTAATGTGACACAATAATGTTTTTGAGTTCAAAAATCTTCATTTAGGGGTTTTTCCAAGCAAATATTGATATATGTGATTGTTTATTATTAACTCAGCAGCTCTAGATCCACCACTCTATGATCTGTGCCTGCCATGGATACATAATGTATCATAATGTAAGCAGGTGAACTGAAACTATACCTGTTCACATACCGCTTTTCGTTTAATCACTTTATTTTGGAAGTTCTTACCGGAAGTATCGGTATGTTATTGTGTCTGCCTTGATGCTGGTGGAGATTAACACGTATGGAACACGGCTGTATGAGCGCTCACGGCCCTCCAGCGGCCACAGTGTGGTACTACAACGCCATATTCTTCAATTAGAATGCTACTGTGCTATTAATACAAATTATTATTATTAGCCACAATTGTTGTTGTTGTTGTTGTGGTTATTGTTTTTGTTTTTGTTAGAGATACTTATGTTGGTAAACTCTTCATAACGTACACTGTACTCTGCACCATGAGAGATATAAAACAGCACTGTAACAAATACTACTGCCTTTATTATTTTTTTTCACCTGCATTTGCATACAGGATTTACTGTCCACAGGGATTTTTAGCATATGTTTTTAGGATACTTTGTATATTAGTATTTAGATATTGTGTCTAATTTGATGCTGACAGGTTGGTGGATGAGTGTCATGAGAATATCTGGAACTTTATCGCCCTCAAGTGGCCCCATTGCGTTACAGCACTACATTAAATTAGACGCTCAAGGCGCTTCTACAGGAGAGAGTTTGAGTTTAGCTTTCAGTTTACAGCGCATTTTAGTAGTGGCTTTTCTATGTTAAAAAGAGTTGACTTGGTTAGCGGTCTAGTAGTTCCGTTCAGAGCATTTGTCTATATAACGACGTGCATACGAAGTGGGAGACTTATCTTTACACTGACTATCTTTGATACTAGCACAGCTTGTTGAGTTGAGGGTGTTGCTAAGGAACGTTATAATACCGACTCTGGTCCAATCACTGTTAGAGAAAGGTGTCACGTGTTTTAAACTGACCAACCAGAGTGACGTTAGCGTCACTACCTGTTGAAGTTTATCCAAGCGTCCACTCCACCAGACTTTTTTATGTTAACCTACTAATTTTACCCGCTAAACAAAAAGCGCTGTTGTGCTTATGAAATACAACATTACAACAAGTCTTGACTAGTATATTTTGGGGTCTCATATGGTAAGGCGGAGAATTTGTTGTGTCTTTGCACAGAGGCTAGAAAGGCTGCTGTCAGGGTTAGCTATTAAGCTAATGCTAATGTCAGGCTAATGTATACTTATTGCTAAGCTACGTTGCCTTCATTCATGTCTTTGAGACTGACAGACCCAACATATCCATCTAAACATATTGCCGAATTTCTATTTATCATTCATGCCAAATATTGTCAGTGCATTTGTCTTTCATAGCTTTAATTATTTGTGTAGATTTTAGCAACTTAATTTAATTTATGTTATTATGAATGGGATTAGTTAGTGTTTGCTACTAAATTCTGTTAGATTTTTCTTCATATGTAGTTTTTTATTAATATATTCCATAATATTCTGTTCCAAGGAGATATAATGGGTCAAACGTACTTTGAAGTATATGAAATACACTAAGAAATGCCAGTAATCCATTTTTTGTTCTTCTTGTTTTTGCCTATATTCTGAACATGTGTGTTTTTATCCCTGTTTGACATGCAGTCAGTGTGTTGTACTACAGAAATGTTAACTGCCTTATCTGGAGTGACATGCTGAAATCTGGTGCTGTCAAATGAGTCATACATTTCCCATTACATTTTCTAATTGTGTGTGGAATTATTTTCCTTGTGCTCCCACACACACACACACACACACACACACACACACCTCAAGCCCTCATGTCATCAGTTTAACTGTAAATTCTGCTGTTGGAGATACTAATGGCCCACTGCTTCACAGAGGAAAACAATGAGAACTCGGTCAAGTTCACCTCCAATTCATGTGCATGTCAACGATGACACACCGGTCCATGTGCACGTGAAGAGCCAGAGGACGAGTCCTGCCAGGACGCCTCAGGTTAGAGATGTACTTTACTATAATGTAAGTGATGTCATTTGTAGGGGATGCGCCGATATATCAGCCCAACATCTGTATCAGCAAATAAGATGGCATTCACAGATATCGGTGGCCGGTGTTTATCTGTTGTCGGTTTTGTTTTGCGCCAACCAAATGTTGTGTTTGTTATTTCTTGGATATTGGAGAAAAAATCACCTCAGTTTTCCAGCACCGGCACAAACTGCACACAAATACCAAAGTGCTCCATGCAGTTCTTTCCCTGGGGCAAAAGGACAAATAAATAACCAAATGGCCAAATTGTTATTTTAAAGATCAGTATTGGCCCAGAATTTCCCAATCGGTGCGTCTAAATTTAGGAAATCTTGTGAAACTCATGCCAGTAGTTCCTGCTCATGGTACACACATACTCTCATACAGTGTAGTTATTATGCCGCATAGAAAGGCCTGACAGACATCAGTGACATGCTGCTGCACACGCTCTGTGTTTTAAAGGGGAAGGCCAAGGTCGACAGAGGGAACCTCCGGCCTACAGCCAAGGTCAAAACTCGAGCACCATGGATACCACCAGGGAAGGGCTCCATACGGGACGCTTCGTACAAGTGGGAGGTAGGTAGCACATCTTAAAGGCAGATTACACCTGAATCCCACCCATCCAAAGATGTTACTCACAGTGTCATGTGCACCAAGGGGCCGACGCACCACCTTGAGATCTCACCGCCGCTCCCTGAACCAGAACCAGAACATTCCCAGTCTGCGCTGCGATTGGCTGACCTCACATCAGAGGAAGAGGAAGGGCTGCACGGACGAATCAGCCAGTATGAGAGGAAGATTGACAGCTTACTGACTGAAGTCAGTACTCTGAAAAATGAGGTCAGTTTCTCCTCTGTTTTCACTTTGTTCTGAGCAGGTCTGCAACACACAAGTCCTTCCCTCATTAAGTCCCTGTTAGGCTTAAATCCATAGATATATTTGACATTATCAGTCAGCTTCTCCTGCTTAGGATTCCTTCAGTGTTCATAGTTCAGGAGGTTTCTACTGGGAGCCCAGTTATCCACAGAGGTCTCCTCCTCTCCGTTTCCATTCAGTGTCCGTTTTTGTGGTTCGTGTCATTTTGAGTCTGGTTTGAAGTTTACAAGTCGCTCAGTGTACAATGACCACAGCTAAACACAACAGTGCAGAGATGGACAGACAGAAGTATGTCAGTATCTGTGTATTTCTGTCGTCGGTTTCCACAGCCAGAATTGATTCATTTTGAAGAAGTGCTCCACGTTGATCCGATTATGTTTAATCTGAAAGCAGTGCAGCGTTTAAGGAGCAGGAAGCCATTAAAATGTATTCCTGTGATTTCACCGCCTCACTCTCTGTTTCCATCAAGCATGGCGTAAGCAGTTTCCGCCGCGAAGAGCTTCTGCAGCGGTCGCCGGTCTCACACAGTGATGCCAACAAGCTTGCTGGACCTCATTTCTCAACTTAAAAACACCTCTTCCACACAGGACAGTCCACTTTCACTCAGGAGTCGGCGCTCCCCACCTGCGGACATTCTTACAGGGCTCATTTTCATATTTGGTTTCCTGGAAACCTCTCTTGGTCTACTCAGGTCATTCTTAAAATTTCAGCTCCGGGTGAACCAGGTTCAGCTGTACACCCGCCACCCCCCTTAATGTTGGCTGGGACTGGTGGGAGGTGATTTAGTTTCAGAGAGCTTTACAGTTGTGGGGATCTTGGTTGCTGGGTCTTCTGGCAGAAATGTTGAGAGAAAGCTGTCTGAAGCATTCACATACAAGTTGAGGAATCTGATATTTCACATTTGTGGCACTAATTTGATTATTTTTAACCAAACAGGTGATTTAGATTCTTTCCGCAGTTACGGGAAACTTAAAGTGACCAGGACTGGCTCCATTGAAATTAAAAGTACTGATTTATTTTTGTGCCTGTATGGTGGAAAAAGGTTGAGGTTGTAATACCTGATGGGAAACTGTTGCTCGACAGAATCACCATCCATTAATTAGTTCGGCAACATCTGAATACACACACACCACACACACACAACACACACACACACACACACACCAAACTGCCAAATGTATCGCCCTACAATCTGGTGTTAGAAGGATGAAATTGAAAGTACTGCAGGTTTAAGAGCGACAGTGAACAACAGGCAGTCTGATAAACACACAGGTGGAGTTCAGTGTCGGGGCTCTTGTGTGTAACGTTGCTACAGATTGAAGCAGAGATGATGAATGAGATGATTCAAACTGTCTAACTAACCGAGCTCTGCCTCTGAACTGGTTGTTTCTTAAAGAATGTTGTCTTGTCTGTCTTGTAAAATAAAATAAATCACCCTCTTTTTATCTGTTTGTGCTCTTTGCTGGACAGTTTAAAACAGGAACTGTAAGTGCAGTTATGAAGCTGTGCTTCTTTACACTATAATGTACTTTTTATTTCACTATCTGACAGCTATATTTACTTTTATATTTAGGTTCATCTTCCATTAACATGCAGCTGAATCAGATTGTGTTCAGGACTGCAGCACACTGATAAACGTTAACGTTCATCAGAAACAGGACAAACAACATGTGGACCTGGAGCTGCTGTACGACATAATTGATTTAAAATCTTATTCAATTATCCAATTTTATTGTACACCTGCTCTGGTCCACATGTCTGTCTCTAATGGAAACTGTTTGCACAATTAAAGACTGGATGAGTCTCCAGTCCTCTTGTTCTCTGCAGTCTACATAACAGGACGGCAGTCGCTCACAACGATTCGAACAATAACTGTCCAAATCAAGTAGAATTTATTTAATAGACAATTCATCTTACTATAAGCTTATTTAGAAATTGTTATAAAAAGTGTTTGTTTCATGTACAATTAACAATTAGTGAGCGAGGGGCCAAAATACAGTAAATCAATTCCAGTATTTTTGGTCATTTTATTAAATTCCCAGGTGTTCCAGATGTTCCAGGACGAGTGGGAACCCGGAATACAACACACTGTTAATCCAGATTAAGAGTCACCTCTAAACTTCTCACATGGTCAAATTTAACTGCTCCAAGCCTGAAGACGTAAACAAATGTCCAATATTTTATATTTTTATGTAAGATAAAAGTCTAAAACCTGAAAGCATTAAACAGTTTGTGTATCTGAAATTAGTTTTTCACATTTACCTGGTGTCCCTCTGGAAGGGCCTGAACCCTAGGGTGGAAACCACTGGACTGTATATGTAGTTTGAACTGGCTCCACCTGCAGCAGCTGGTAATATAATCTGTAATTAATCAATTCACTGTGAAACGTAATACTGTGAGTACATTAAGTTCATTATACACTTTAGTACTTTTACTCAAACAGGGTTTTGATTGTGTAATGGAGTATTTTTACATGAATGTAAAGATACTTAAAGGCTCTGAATACTTGAGTTTATACTGTATCTATTGTATATCTTACAGTCAATATCACGTTTCTCCACACGCCTGCTGGTGGTCTGCAGTGTCTGCTGGAAAATACCAAACAGAACTGAACTAAACAGGAAGTAAACATCAGTACAGAACAGATCAAAGACCAGATTAAAGGCAACTTTTTTATTTATTGGCAAATGCTTTGAATAAGGTAGCAATGCGTCTATGTACACCCCTCCAACAGTGACAATGTCAGAAAGCCTAAAGAAAAACACGCTTTGTGATACAGCTCGATTATATGATCGTTTATACGCACACATCTTGTTTTTGTTTGTTTCAAACATACACACACTTATATTTTCAGTTTTTGGTTTGGGAAAACATCTAAAAAGACTTTTTTTCTTAATTAAACAATACAATTATATCTTGCGTAAAATCAATATACATTTATAAAAAAAAAAGTCAAAACATGCAAGGTCTGTAGTACTATAGAGTTATTAAACGAAGGCAGACAGACGGACAGACAGAGCAGCAGTGCTCTAGAGAGGAGGATACAAAAAGAGGAGATAATTGTTATATAGATACAGTAATTCCTAAAAAAAACTATGCCAACTCTTTTATATTTGTATTAATTTATGTGCAAAAGAAGCTCATTCATCTCAGACATTAAATACATTTTCTTTTGTCTAATGCTCGACTCTACGCTACCATGACACACGCGGCTTCTTACAAGCTGTCTGACACGAGGCCAGGAGGAGACGTCGCCCTCGCAGTGGGCCGATGATATTAAAGGGGGGGTCTTATTTCTCTGGGATCTGATTACTTCCTGGCTCCCACCCCTGCCAGGCGCAGGCTGCATCAGGATACATCAGGAGACAGAACAGGAGGATTTTATTGGCGTTTCACTGCGCAGAGCGAGTCTGCCAGAGAGAACTCGGACAAATAAACTAAATCCCACAGCGTTTAAAAACAAAAACATCCTGTCCCGTCCTGTAATCATCCCCATGTAACTGCCCCAGACCCCCCCTGTTTGCCCCTGTAGAGACGATGTCCCCTCCTGAGCTGCCAATCCTGACCAACAAGCCAGCAAGCGTTTCCTGTTGGAGCAGAGAGCATCCCTCGTGTCTCCTCTCTAAAATCTACTGGCTAACATCTTCACCTGACTGTGACGTTCAGTGTGTGTGGTTAAATGTGGGTGCGCTTTTTGTGCGGGAAGACGGGCGAGTAGTGATACTGCAGGCTTGTTGTGCTTAACGGGGTGAAGAGACGTAGAGTTCAGTCTGTTAACATGCCTGACGGGTGTAGCAGCGTGTGGCTAGTGGCCCTAATGCTAACTTCCCTTCTGTGACGTTACAGTAGCTGTACGAGGGGTGAGGGGGGGTGGAGTAGTGTCACCCACTGTGCTGCTGTGAGGGGCGCGACGGGATAAATATTGCACATGTAAAATGTAGTGAACTTTCCGAGCGTTACAGTCAGCCTGATTGTCAGCTACTCGGTAGCCAGTGGCGAGTTGGCGAAGTTGAGCTTCAGGCTGACGGTAAATGTATGATTAAAACAAACTACCTAAAAAACACAAACTACAGCTAATATCTCAAACAGAAGACAGTAATTAAAAAACTAAAACGTGAGTTAAAAAAGGTAAAACGACAATCGCTATGAATCTGTGTCCGAGCTCGTCCTGCTGCAGGTAGTTATCGACCGCACTGCGCTGTGTTCACCTGCGCTCAGATCACATCCTGACTGGCTTTGCATGTGAGTGCCCGGCTTCAAGTTTAGTGTAGTTTTAAGGATGAAAATCGATTTTACTCGCAGATTCCAAACTCCAAAAGGTCACCGGTTTTCAAAATAAGAGAACCCATTGTGTGTGGAACCGAAAGAACGAGAGAGAAAGTAAAAGTAGGAGCACTCAGAGATGTCACAGGTTGGATTCTGAAAGACACACAGGATGTCCTCTGGCTGTTGGAGCTAGTGTTGTACGTACTGACCAATAATAAGAGACGGGAGGGGGGGCGCTGCTACGTTGGGCCTGCGATGCAACAAAGTGGGGAGGATGGCGGAGTTTGGTGGTTTCTGGTCGGTTTCTGACACCCCCCTCGAGCGTCCCCCTCCCTCTACCCTCTCCCCGGCCTCCCAGCACCTAGAAGATGTCCCCGCTCTTCCTCCCTCCCTCCCTCCCTCCCCCATGCCCCTCCCTAGCAGCCGAAGGTCTCCTGCGAGGCGTAGACCATGTAGAGGAAGCCGTCCTCGTCTCTCTCCTGCTCGTAGATCTCGGAGATGGGAGTGGACACGGACACCATGCTGTGCTGGTTGACCAGCAGGAAGAAGGCCTGCGTGGGGTTCAGCTGCAGCCGGCGCCTGAGGGCGGGAGACGGGGGAGAGAGAGGAAACACGTGTTAATGCTTTCATCCTGAACATCCACCCATCACTTCTTTTATTCTGTCTCTATCTCTCTATCAGACGACAGAGCCTTTCCATCTGCCTGCAGCTCTTCATCGCTCCGGCGCCCAGCATTACTGCGGCTGTTTCAATCCCTGAATGTCTCAGAGGAGTCAGCGAGGGTTGTTTTTAGGTGTGGGTAATGTAAACTGATGTGCAGTGAAGGCTGTGGTGGAGGCAGCTTTACTGTGATATGAACAGCGGTATGGTTAATGTCTGTTGAAGACTCCATATGTAACCTGTAAAGTGAACGACAGGACCGCACTGGGATCAAACTCTCATTTATGACGTCTTTAATTTTGTGGGTTGAAAATGTCTCAACACGCCCTCTGCTGTTTTGAACCATGAACCTTGACCCTTGAGCGTTTGTGACGACTTTACGTTAACGCCGTCTAACCAGAGGATTTGTTTGGGGGTGCAGTTACACTTTAACCAGAAGGAGCTTATTAAAGTGTCCTGATCAAAAAGGCATGCTTTAATAACAGCTTTGTAATTGGCAATACCATAAGAATCTGGAAGCAGATAAAAC